ATACTTTCCATTCTTGCGTTCGAATATTCTTTCTGTTGTCTGTTCACTAATTAATTTGGTATTAAATTAGTATATATTCTTCTTGTACATATTTTTTTTAATTTAAATTTTCTTTAATTGGTTTGGTAATCAAAATGCACTTTGCTTGTCAATAAATGCATGTACATGTTTAGTAAGAAGGGTATTCATTTTGCACTTACTCACCTATAATCATTTCTCTTATTGACGGTTTAAATTTGGCCATATTTAAGTAGTTTACGTCTTGATAGAATTTTAGATTTTGCATGACAGCCAGGACCATATTTACGTCTGCGTTTTTTAAATCCGATGTAATAAATAACAAATAAAATATTCCAACAATAAATGATAACGTTGCATCTACAACAATAAATCTGAAAAAAAAATTTTTTTGTCTAAATGATCATCATCTACCTATTTTTTCTCCACTGGCTGGTGTTTTTTGTATTTGTTCCAATGACCAAAATTCTCTTGGTAAATAGACAGAAGTCCTGAGATTTCCATTGAGAAAGTTTGTTGATAGATTAACAAATGTCATACTACCAAAATCAATTAATATTACACGATTATCTTGTTTACGAATTAATAAATTTTCCGGTTTGATATCGTTGTGTGACACTTTTAAATCATATGCTATAACGTAATCACACCTATCGTCAGTCTGAGATAGAATGAGTTATAGTAGTATTACCTAAATCATAAATGATTAATGCCACTTCTTGCACATAGTGAATATATTGTTGACGTTGGAGATGATCGTCTATGTTAAGTCGATAACGATCAAACAACATACGCATTACTGTAGAATCCAAAATTTGTTCAGTGATGTAATTTACCGATGAATTATATAACAAGTAAGATCCAAAAAAATGTGGCACGTACGGTTTATGCTCAATGAATTCATGCATAATCTAAACACAATAACATACTGTTAAAAATAAACGTGGTGTCTTCGGGTTGTAATTCTGCTAACGGTCCCCCGTTTTCGCAATGGGGGTACCCTTTTTTTTTGGTTTTTTTTTTTTTTTTTTTTTTTTCTCCCGAACTACTGTATCGAATGAAAAAGTAATTTCAGAATCATGATCACCATCTTCCAAAGTATATATATTCTCATTTTCGGCAAAAACGGATAAGAGAAAAAAAGTGAAAAAAAACATCGCTATATGGCGGATTTGAACAATTGATCGATGAATCTGAGACATTTTCAGCACAGATAGTTTAGACAAGTACCATTGGTCTCAGTGTGTAGAGCCAGACGGTCACTTCTCAGTGTGTACTTTACACACCTATGCCTTGTATTCTCGACGGTCACTGGGAATCGACTTGAGGTTCACTTTATGTGTGTCGTTTACACACTTTATGTTTTGCAGTGTAGATGGCATGTCCACTCAGTTCTCACAGACAGATAATAATGCAAGTTCATATGCACAACATTGAACATTTTTCGAAATCATGCCAGATACTCGATGATCTCGTACAATCGAATCTCCTCATACAATTGTGTTTAAAATCTTTAGATCACATTGAAAGGATAAAGTTAAAGCAAGTTTAGGAAATATTTAATCATAATATGACTGGAATGGAATCAAAAATAAAATTTACCCATAAGAATGCAACGGGGAGTACTAAAATATTGAAAAAATAAACGTATTTTCTCAAACAGAGCGAAATTTTTTCCAATGGTTTCACAAGCATTTAAACGCGGTTTCAGGATATTTTTGCGTAGTTTCAAATATGCTCTTTTTCGTCGCGTAGAGTAAAAATCGTTTGAATCTAAATATCCGATGCAAACATTAACGTCTGAGCAGTCAAGTGAAAACAGAAAAAATTGCTACTTTTTCTTTTGCGCGTTGGAACAAAACAACTTTTTTTTACAAATCTTAGAGATCCGATCATAACGTTAATCATTTATTTTTGAAATTAAAAAAATCAACTTGAGTGATCGAGTTTGACTAAGCTTTATTTGTTTTATTGGAAGGCTCAAATTATTTGTAAAAAGTCGTCATTTTTTGGAGAATTATCAAAAAATAAGGAAACGCTTGCGCTCTCAATCCTAACTGGAAATTATTTAAATTTTTACAGGTAGAAAATAGAGCGTTTCGAGGCGTATACGGTGGCTACCTCAGCTTTCCTGTCGCGCAAACTTTTAGCAGATAACAACTAAAACAAAAATGTAATTACGTTTATTTTTTCTACATTTTGGTGCATCTCACAATTTCTCATGGTATTAGTGGCGGAGCCACTAACAGGGCTAGACTGGACTGAGCCCCGCCTGGACAGTTTTTTAAATTTTTCCTGAAATTCAGCTTAAATTTATTAGCACTACTTCAGAAAAGTGATGAGCTGAGCCCTGCCTAGCACAAAATCCTGGTTTCGCCGCTACGTGATATTTTACATCTTCGGATTTTGTAATAAAACAGTCAACATATTTTTTGTAGAGAATTCAATGGGGAATCTTTTGGTAGAAAAGCTAACTCAATTCAATGTGAGAAGAAGGAGAACATTTGAAAATAGTAATAGCGCAATTCTTTATGGGTCACTCGTTAAATGAAAATGAATATTGTCTGGCTTAAAACTTTTACGTATGTAAGAGCTTCACGGAAAAATGCGTTGGGTACCTGTTCTCTTCCACCAACACTTGTCTCGAGCCTTGTTTTAATCAATGGATAATACTTATAATTAATCGATTCTGTTTCCATTAAGCGAAATTTGTTTACGAATGGAACATAAACGGCTTTAACTGCAACCGCTGCATTTTGAATTTTATAAACAACACCTAGAAGGTTAGATGTATTTTTCATACATATCTTTTAAACATTACCAAAGAGATACGTACCACAACCTCCGCTTCCAAGTTCTCTTTCAATCGGTAGTACTCCGATTTGTTGCTCTTTACGAGGAGTAAGAGCAGCACTTGAAATAAAGACTTTTAGTAAAAAGTAAATGTGTAACATTTGTTTTCTTTCTTTTTTTCTTTCTCTCTAGTCATAGCTGTGTAACAATAAAAACGTCGTGGTGACTAATCAAATAATAGAACGTTGCAAATACAGCGAGAAAAAGTATCTGTGCATCTTCCGATATAATATGCCAGTATCAGAGAATGAAACGTCTTCAATGGTTTCCTATCATTCTCTTTCTGCTGAAAAGAACGAGAAGGACCTACTCAAATAGCTTTTCACTCCCATTAATATGAGCTATTTAACTGGTTGTATGTACATTTTCACAACTGAGTCCTCTGATTCTTTCTTATCTTCCTCACTGTAGACCTCAGAAGCTAATTGAATAGTTCAGTATATCTGAACTTTATTAAAAAAGCAATCCATGTCTGTTATAGAAATAATGACTCCGTTTTTTCCCGTAGTTTTTGATAACCCATGTCGAACTTTCTTTTAAAATAGCCCCAGTTCAACAAAATACCATCAATATACGGCGCGGTTAATCTACGGTAACTTATTAGACCGCGGTCTAGGAAAATACCGCACTGTAAACCGTTTTTAACCATTCACCATTGTATTTTACACCCAGGAAGATATAAAAGAAACAGAAAACTTCGAGAAATTTGATTTCTTCGTCAAATTCAACTTTTCTTGTAGATCATACAGACTTGTCCAAGTTTGAATTTCAATTCGAGTCAAACTTCTCTCAATCGGGAGCCTGTGTGCGCTTGCAAGTGCTCAACAATAAAAAAGAGAAAGTTGAAAATTAGTTTCGAACTTCTGTTCTACGTATTCATAATGACAAAATACCAGACAGTACTGCTGGTTATACCGACGCTATACAGTGACATACCGTGTGGGTACCGCCGCTATTTTCGTTTACTACGGCGGTCTACCTCACGGTAACCATCAGTAGTTTGCCAATATTCAGCACATGAGAAATCATCATTTTTCTCGCTTCGACACAATTATTTACATCCGACAACGGCTGATGCCGAACGAACCGTTTGGCCAGCAAATAAGGCATAAAATGCTAACGAGAAAAGCCTTCTACATGCTCACTTTCGCTTTCAATGATAACACTAAAGTTATTATATCTCGGAAAAAACAGTCCAAAAGTAATAGTTAGATGCATATAGTTTTCTTTTTTTTCCAGATAAGCAAAAACAGTCATATGACACATCCATATTCCGCACTCATCCTCACCTGGATAACAAGAGTATTTCTTCGAAAAGTGTCAAATTCTGATTTTATCGAGAATGATACAGAACTGCAATCACTGCGGAGCGCGTATCCTTAACCCAACGTACCCTGATTTCCACAGGTCCGGAAAACAACCTGTTGAAAGAGATTCATTAAAAATAAGAGAGTTGGTACAGATAAAATGACAGGCGCAGCTTCCTTTAACATTCGGTTCGAAATTCCTGGTGCACAGCCTTAGAAGTATCCAGTTTTGAAAGTAGTTCAAAAACCTCTGACTCCTAAATTTTGAACGATGACATGACGGTTTTTGAATATGGTAAAATAGGAGACACTTTGTTAATACTTGACGGTGTCCATACTTGAGAAAAATGATTATTCAAAAGTTCCGCTTTTTCCATAGGATCGATAACTAACTTATTATTATTCGCAGTCAGAGACCGAAACGGGTCGGGTCGGATCCGATTGTCTCGGGTCGGGTTCGGGTTAAAGTAAAAAATATTGATTCGGGTCGGGTCAAAGGAAAAAAAATTTCGGGTTTTATTCGGGTCTTGCCACTAGAACACAAATCAG